TTTAATCCTTCTGTATTCCTGCTGATTTTGATCAAATATAAATCACTCCATTGTCCTTTATGTTAGAGGAGTGGTAGAGAACTTCATGTCTGGGACATCAAGTCAGGGCTCGGTCCCAAAGGTCACCAGCTGGATCCCCTGGAGAAGCCGGATGTGACAAGGTAACACATTCCCTGGTTGATCTTTTATCATCCTTTCCTCAGCTCACCAGGATTGTCCTCATGCAGTCAGCAAAAATCTATATTCCTGTGCCCTCCACACTCAACCTAATATATCCATAGCATATTGGAAGATTAATACCTTGCAGCTATTGCCTCATAATACTTTATATAGGGTACCAGGGGCCCCATAAGAGCCTTGTGGATGCGGCCGTTCATGGCGACTCCACATCTGTATAGCTTCACCGCTCCACCGCTCCACCGCTCCAGCAATATTCGCTGTCTGAAAAAAAGAAAAGAAAACGGCGCTTCCGACAAATCCTCAGCTCTCGGGGACTTTCCTGTTTACATCTCTATTCCCAGCACAAAAGGATTACAAACCCCAGCTTTACAGAGTATAAAGAGATCGTAAAATCCAAGATATGCTGAGCGGGCGGGGTGGAGAGGTTAGGGGATGTCCTCGTTCAGTTTGCATCTGCGAGGCGACGGATGGTCAGAGGTTCAAAGCTTCAAGAATGGCTGGGGGAGGGGGAGACGTCTTGATCAAGGTCTGCCTGGATGGGGCTAGTCTGTGTGTGTGTGTGTGTGTGTGTGTGTCTGTGTGTGTGTGTGTGTGTGTGTGTGTGTGTGTGTGTGTGTGTGTGTGTGTGTGGGTGTGGGTGTGGGTGTGGGTGTGGGGGTTCTCAAACATATTTTTCTCTATATTAAACTGGATTAGTTGTCTGCCCCGCATCCTTTATCGAGATAATACTTGGAGCTTGCTGGGATTTCTTGAATAGATCTGTGTGAGCTGTGTGACTCTCTCTAATCTTATTGGTGTGTGTGTGTGTGTGTGTGTGTGTGCGTGTGTGTTGCTGTGTGTGTGTATATGGAAGCTCTTGGAAAAACAGCGTGATGGCACAGATCAAAGGGATCCGGATGGTGTTGAGTCTTATTTGGATGTAATTGCTGTTTACTTCGTCACATTATACAGTAGAGGTGCCTTATTAAGACTTTCTGCCTGTCGTTAAAGTTGCGGTGCAGAAAGCCTTGAGGGGATACGAATCTATCTCAGGGTTTTTTCTATCAAGGACATTTTTTTATCCTTAATATGACTTTTCAAAGGGTTGCTTGTTTATGGAAACATCGCTCAGGTTTTTTTTGTTTGTGTAATAGAGATTAATGGACTTCCAGTACCCTGTCTCAGCTTTCAAACAGCACTTTATTTAAATATCTCGAGGAGGAATTGTAATGTTTAAACCTCATAGTCTTTGAGGCACACGGTCTGGATCCCTCATTCCAATTTATTAGTATATCCCCAATACTCCTAGGATTGAATGTCTTGGAAATAAAACATTATGTGAGAAATATAAATTTCTTGTTATTGCATTGTGCCTGTTCTCCAGGGTTTTTAGTCATTATAGAGCAAACACCTTAATATGGCCATTTGATTTAGTCCCACACATGTTGTGAGTTTCTGAATCAGGCTACAGATAGACATATGTAACTAGCATACTGTATGCACCAGACATTTGCACTCTGTAGGTGCGTCCTTTTATTTATTTTAATTTGGGGAAGTGGCGATCTCGCTTAAGCGCGGTACGGGACAACTTTGCATAGTGTGAGTGCGCCCTAAGCCTCCAGTGTGAGGTTACTCTCCTGCTAAATCATCCATCCAGTGTTTCTTACATTATACTTTGAGAGTAATCACCTCAATCAGGGTTTGGACTTCTTTTTTCTAAAAATGTAAATCGACAGTGACGGGAGAGACCTTTGCCTGAGGCTCGATCCCAGATTGGAGTTTGAGTCGGAGCATAATGCACGTTGACAGAAACGAAAAAAATCTTAGAGGCAGAACTGATGGAGAAACTGGTATGTTTGCAAGAGTTGATTTAAACCTGAGTGAGCAAAGGCAAAGAGGTTCAGAGAGGACCATAAAAAAGTCAAAAGTTTGATTGTTTGTCTCTGTGCTGACAGCTTTCTACCTGCATTTACTGACTGCTAACTGACCTTTGTTTACTTTCATTTATTATGAGGTGTGATAGACATTAGCACGAACCGGTCGTCTTGCACCTTCCTGCACAACCACAGTGTTTGCATTACTTATTTTACTCTATATTACTCTATACATGGCTTTAGTCCCTGCAGCTATATATATATAAATATTAAATTGGATTTCTCCTGACAGCAGTACTAGTGTCGTTTAACTAGCTTTCTTTAAGTTTTACAAGTGTATATATAAGCTATATATAAGTGTATGTATAAGCTATTTTATATTCTTTGTTTTTAACACTAAAACCACGAGTACTAACTCCTTATATACATGAACAAACACACTTGGCCATAAACTTGACTCTGACTCTGATAAATGCTTATACTTCATAAAATTCTGAACTTTCACCTTCACTAAAAATAACACATTTTTTCTCTCAGGCCTTTGGTAGTTGGTGTGTGTGTGTGTGTGTGTGTGTGTGTGTGTGTGTGTGTGTGTGTGTGTGTGTGTATGTGTGTGTGTGTGTGTGTGTGTGTGCCTCTGTGAGTGCCTGTTGTCTTCCATGTGTGAGTGCAGCACGATAAGGACAGAAAATGGATTTGATATATCTGTGTGTTGTAAGGGCGATGATTCATTTGTTTTATTATCATCATTATTATTTCATTTTCAATTAATTGGAGTCTTTAATATGTCTCTACTGCATTTGTTATTTTTTCTTCATAATTGTCTTTCAATGTTTTTAATGTGAAGCACTTTGAGTTTTACCCGTGGAATTAAATGTGCTTAACAAATAAAACTGACTTGACTTACGATTATCATTTTACAGCTGTTGTTACATACTAGATGTAGCTAGATTTTACACAGAATTTATCTCATAGTTTTAAATAATTCAACATTGTTGTCTGCATTTAATGTTCCCAGGATTTATATTATTCCTTAAAACATAAACAACCTGATCAAGTGCATCACTGATAATAAATGACCTCCAAACGTTAGGTCACAAATGGGCGAGGTGTAACTGCTTATCAACTCCACACGGTTTAGAGGAAAAAGAATCCATTGGTGCTGAGAGGGGATTCAGGGAAGCTGAAGGTACCGTAAAGGGGCATTGTGCATTGTGTACACCTTGACTTTTGATTGAATACGTAATTTAAATGTTTTTCTTCTGTCAAATTTCAATGTCTTAATTTTTACTTTTGGATCTAAACGCAGAGATGTTACTTTGGTTATTACGGAAGCCCTAAGCAGACATTCATCAATGCATCTGAATTAACTCTTGTTTTCTCCTGTGACAATAGGTACATTTAGCTGATTTTTCTCAAGATCTCACCAAGATCTCTAATTAATGGGTTAAGTTCAGCCATTTTATTCCGGAGCTGGAGGAATGAACTGGCTAACATGGGAAAACCAGAGTTGTTATTCAGAGATAACGAGATAAGTAAGTCAAGATCCTCACCTGTTATCACAAGAAAATGGAGGAATACAAAATGTATGGATGTATGTCCACGTAGGGCTTATGGAGAAATGAATGAATGAAACATGTGTAGTGTTTGTCATTAAGGTTGTTGGAAAGGAAATATAGTAGCCGAATACATCTCCTTCATTGCTACAGGCTTGTTCAGCTACATTAAAATGAACAAATTAACTCTGCTACCCGTTCCTAACGTGATCAGACAGAACGATATTAGCTCTATTCTCCTTCCACGTACGGCTCCCGTCTGTTTCTCACAGTAGCGTTGTCTCTGTGAGGATTTTAACTCAATCGATACGATTATGGGTGCCTCTTCTGTCTGTCAGAGTTGCCTTTTTAAAATTCAAACGACGGTCTACTGTGTAAGTAGTCCTTGGAAATCATTGTATTGCCAGAAGCCACATGAGCTGGCCATGAAAATTGCCATGCGAAAAAAGAGAGACAGTATTTATGTGCTGTTTTGATTGTGTGTTCTGCAAAAGGAAAAGCCTTCAAATGGAGAGCCCGAACGTTCCCTTAAAACCATAATGACAGTAATGTCACATGGAATCATCTCCACCCAAACGCATCCTTGTTTGATTGTTGCCAAGTCTGTCGCGTCTGCTCGCCAATCCACACTTAATGCAGCAACTGAACAACTCATTTGGCAGCCTGGGACTCAGACTCTGAATCCTACAGCCACTGCGGGTTTGGCTGACCAGAAAGTTAGCTTCACACACTGGTGTGCAGTAAATTAGCTCCGACTTTGCCCTGTAGGAGAGGAAACCATGCCAGGAGAGATAACAACCCACACATCTTTGCAGCAGCCATGGCTGAGGGATGCTTACTCTTATTTTTGTCAGTATTTTCTTGTTGTTTTGCTTTTATCTCATCATGTGCTTTGAATATTGGTTAGACGCCCCAAAAATATTAACATGGTTAATTGTTAGTATAGGTGCAAGCCAGTTAGCCAGTATTTGATCTTTTTTACATAGTCAGATTTTTCTTTTTTTTAACAAGACGAATTAAAGGAAAAAAAACATGCAAAATGTGTTAAGAGCTAGCTCAAGGGTTAATGTTCACTTGATCTGCTGGTGGGATGCAACATAGAAAAGGAACAAAAAAACAAAAAAAAGGTAAAGGAAACAGCAAATCCAAGCAGAGAGTCTAAAGTTAAACGTATTAATATCAACGAATGGTGGAAGACATGAAAACTTTATAGACACCAAGCTGAGAAGGACAAAACACATCCAGCCCAAAAAGAGAGTTTACGAGTAAAGAGCAAAAAGAAAATGTCCATCACGTTCAAAAAAAGGACAAGAAATTTAAGAAAATCAAAGAAGATAAAAATTGGAGGAGAAAAGGTAAGTTGGATTCCCTTTGTCATGCAAATCAGTTTGGCATCGAGGGGAAAAAATACCTTCGTCGTCCGTGCGGTCATTATCACTTAAATCATCAGTGTGTTTCTTTGTAAGGGGACCTATAGGACCAAGAAGGAGAAGATGAAGGAAAACAGGGTGATCAAGAACACACAAAGCTTTCAAAAGATGCTCTCAAAAGATAAGAACGTATGTCAACAATTCATCTTTCCATAGCCCCCTTTTTTGTTTTGTTTTTTTTGGGGGGAAAAATCTTCACAGTCACAAGACTGGGTAGCACAATGTCCACTTCATATGTCTACAGTAGGACTTCACTGTATATGCATTTAAGAAAGTTTTTTAAGGAGCAAGAAAAGAGGGGCTTTTGGAAAAAAAAGAGGTGAGAAAAAATATTAGTTCTCTGTTGAAAATGAAGATTTAGCTGAGGCTATGAACCTCTTAGGATCAAAAGACATACACCTTCTTTCTGAAACAGTGCATACACAAAACAGCAAGTATACATATCAAAGACATTTTGTTAGCATTTGTAAATGATCACAGTAGCAGAGAAAAAAAAAGGCAGAGGCTGGAAGAGAAAGTGAATTTTTTAAGAACAAAGAACATAATAGAAGCATGTGACAAACTCCCCCGGTCGTATTTTTAGCTTGTCTACTGTGTGTGTGTGTGTGTGTGTGTTTGTGTGTGTGTGGGTGTGTGGACTAATACATGCAGACTCAGTTCATCTAAAGACCACATACAATGATTTCTATTTCGCTTCCTGTCTCAATTATGTAAACTAAGAAAACCACAGGGAAAACCTTGAGCAACATACGTAGGTGAACATCCAATTCAGAAGTAACCCCTGACTGTAAAGAAGACAATGAAACCATCACATTTAGTGGCATATGGCTGATGTACTTTTTTAGTCAAAGCTAAATAAGAGGGTCAATACCAATCTATATGCAAAACAGGGCATTAGCCAGTTAGCTTAGGTTGTAATACGGACTTGAAAAATGGTAAGCTAGCAAGAAAATGATAGAAACTTCTGGAAGTCACTGTTCCAAAATCTAAAAATGAATGAAGTTACTCAGGGAGCTTTGCTGGTAAGCAGACTTAGGTTGTGTCCTAAGTAATGCACTCGTCCATGACTCCTTACTTTGTCTATGTAGTGAGCTATATAATGATCTCATTGGCACAACAAAAACTCCAACGTCGGACAATTTTGTCTACACCATTGCAGTCACAAAACTAAAAAGTGCAACTCGATGTCTGCATTTGATCAATAATACTAGTACCTAACTGCATGAATTTCAGTGGTCAATGAGCATACTTTCGATTGAAAGCGGGCCGAGACCACCTCTACTATGCAACCTCGGCTCGTTAGCCATTCTAAGAAAACCACCGAGCACCAGTTAATAGATACTCATTTGCATAATGGCTGCATGCATTAGCCGGTTAGCTAAAGGCCCTGACACACCAAGCAGTCAGCAAACAACTAGTGGCCGACTGTGGAATGTGGCGACGGAGCTGGACACACCGCAAAAACAATCGCTCATTGTCAGTCCAACTAGGCCCAATGGCCGACGATCTCCTTGGTGTGTCAGGGCCTTTAGCTAACCGGCTAATGCATGCAGCCATTATGCAAATGAGTATCTATTAACTGGTGCTCTGTGGTTTTCTTAGAATGGCTAAAATGTCAGAACTTAAGGCAATTACTAGACTTGTGGGGGGGGGGGGGGGAGTTGTCAGTTGCTTCTTTACTAAAAACGAAGAAGTCATCATTTCAATGCAAATAACTTTCACAAGAGAAGACATAAACACATGCCAGCTCGAACAAAAGTGACAAAGAAACCCAGACACACACATGCACACTCACTGAAGACACACAAAGAACACCCCAGGAGATACACACACAATTGCTTCAGAAACAGATCTGAAAACATGCAGAATAACAAGGTGTGCCAGCAGGGTGCATGACAGACAGGAAGTCTGAATAATATATCAGCAGACAGACAAACACACACCCACACACACTCTACACATATAAACCATCACATCCACAACATGGGATGCCACAGGGCTTAAAAATAGCCATCTACAGATGAGGAAATGACCGCTCTGATCCTTTTCATTAGCCACAGCAACAAATAGCCAGCAATTTGATGCAAATCAGCTTCAATTCCAGTAGATTTTTTAAAAACTGATAGAGCAGTAAAAGTCAACAGGACAAAGGCAAAAAGGTACTCTCTGTTTGGCGGTGGCTTTAAAGAATGAAATGAAATCTCCAATGACAGTGTCGGTTTAAAAAGCACATCTGTGTACTGAATAGAGAATGGGCGATGAATCACTCGAAAAGGTCCGAGAGACGTTTAGTCAGAGGCTCATGCTGATGAGTAATAATTCCTCCATCATTCACCATCCTGCTGCTTTTATTTCAAGGCCAACCATTCCTCTGCAGGGACTTTAAAGAGGAAGTAGGCTGCCTGCATATCATTCTGTCCTACAGCAGTCTCCCAGCCCTCTTTTGTGAATCTGACAAGCAATTTGATAAGCAAGAGCTGACTCGCACTTTCTATGTGCTGAATAAGCACCAAGACGCGAGGAATCGCTTCTTTAAAAAATGTGAAAATGTCTTAGGAACACGGAGAGTGCGCTGTCGAGGGATGTGTTACCTGTTTATAGAGTCTATGCACAGAGAGATCACTGTCAAAGCAATGCAGAGACTCGTGTTAGCCTGTTAGCTCAGACTCTGCTGGCCAATAGATGGCTCTGTACTTATGCATACACCACACATCAAATAATGTGGCTTTTTTATTTTATGGATATTAGCGTCTTAAACTCCCTGTCTGCATATCTTCACATGCATGTTGGACAGATTAGCACTTATCTTTTTGTGCATTTTGTGAAAAAAGGATTTAGGATATTTTAGCACAAATTTGAGCTGTGCAATAACATTTTTCGAAATCTTTCCTTGTTACAAAGCGACGTGGTGCCCTTTTTCCTTGACCTCTGACAGCTCACCTTACAGCGCTGGACTCAACATTTCTTCAAAGGAGCAATATGTAATGGTAATTGTAATATGTAATGCCTGACAAACCAACAGAGGGGCGTCCAAACAGCTGTATTGACGCTGCTTTAAAACCTTCTCTGGTCCAAACAAATCCAGAGCATTCAAGACCAGAATCTAAACTTAGAAGGAGGACATACTGGCTGCTGCATTGTTTTTTGATTTAAGTTAGTAGATATCTTACATATATATATATATATATATATATATTTGTCCTTTAAAGTGTAAAGACAAGATAATTTCCATGCTGCCCCCTGGCATTTCAGCATAATTTGTGTCAGATAATTTGACCTATTGATACTGTCCTCATTTAAACTTTACAAAATTATCTTTTATGGTATCGTGAATACCAAATATCCCCGAGAGAAGTGTAAAAAAAAAAAAAAAAAAAAAGTTTTTCTGATGATGTAATTGCATGAACATTTGTACCCGCTTTGTCTTAACGTCTACACAGAGTATTGTGGCTCTACTGTGCTTGAAGCTTGTTCGACCTGCTTGGCTACCTCACATGTTGGTTTTTAAAGGTATAAAGTGGAGATGGGAAGTTTGAAGGATGTCAGAGGTTATGCCTGTGCTTGTTAAAATTGTTATGAGTAACAAAAAGAGCCAGAACAAGCCTCTGGTGGTTGGTAGTGGAAACATTTTTTTTTTTGCATTTGTTCTCTCAATTCGATCAGACATGTTGGTCAGAAATCTTCATACTGACATCCGTTAACACAATGTGGTCAACATGGATGGAGAGGTTGCTGACTTTGATATCATACGAGATAAATGCACACATTAGATGTTTTTATCGGGCACTCAAAAACATACTGTGCACCAAAATATGCTTTGCAAACTCCCAGCCCTGTGAAATAAATGGGCACAGAGACTGATGTTGAGCATGCAAACAGAGAAGAAGTTCAAAGTTGGACTGAGTAACTTGACAGGCAGTGAGAATAAAAGTATCAAAGTCAATGTGACTGATGTGGAGGCTGTGTGAGCTGCACATGTGCTGCTATTACAGTGGCATGTTGTTTGACTGAGGGTTAGTGGGGATCAGAGCAGACAAGACAGCTGCATGACAGCTCCCATCACACACACTGACAGACAGACAGACATGCCCTCACACACAGTCACACTCGTACACTCATGAATACCACACACATACAGAGAGAGAGAGAGATATCATACAGCAATCAGGTGTCAATTGTAAACTGCCCGGTGACAAGGAGGCCCCGACACTGACCTGAACTCCCCCACCTGTCACTGAGCGCATACCTGTGTGTGTGTGTATGTGTGTCTTTCTATGTGTGTGTGTGAGGGGAGCACATGCTCCATCACCACTGGTGAGGTCTCAGCTGGCATCTTCCCCGATCCGTGATTAGGAACTTTTCATCTCGCTCTATACGACTCTGTGAGTCTCTTATACTCTCTATCTTGATTTTCTTGTCAAAGCGTCACATTCAAACACCGTCTGCTCGTCACTCTCGTTCTGCTCAGAACATTCTAATCGGATTTTTTTTTTGTTATTCCTTATTTCTCAAATTGCCCGCAGAAAACATTTTTCTTAAAATTACGTGAAGCAAATGTACCCGTCTGCTCCGATGTATAGCCTAGCTTCTGTGCCTGCACTCCGGCCATCTTCTCAGTAAAGTGGCTGAGCCGACTGACATTTCCTGTGGCTAAAATACTTACTAATGACATGGACCTTTTACAATCCCACTTCAAAAGTGTACTGTTCTATCCCTTTAAGGCATAATTAGCGTATGTTTTTTTTTTTTTTTCCTACAGGTTCATTTGTGGGCTTTTATGCCTTTATTTAGAGGAATGATAGTGGATAGAGTCTGAAATCAGAAAAAAAGAGAGTGGGCAATAACATGCCAGAAAGGAGCCACAGACTGGATCCGAACCCAGGCCGCCCACCTGGAGGAACACAGCCTCCATACATGGGGCGCACACACACCAACCACCAGATGCCAGAGCATTTCTATTGGTTGCATTAAAACTATTATAGCTACTGAAGTGGGTTATGGTTGTATACTGAAAGGAAGATTTCAATATGAAGTGTTGGTT